GTCATTTGCCGTTCCAGCAGGCATGTTTGGCAATTTTTAGAAAAAGAAATATAACAAAAATAAATATTTTTATTATTATTATTATTATTATATATTACAAGCAAGCTCTAGCCATAGTTTGTTTATACAAATTATTAGAATTCTTTTACTTTTATCGTATTAGTTATTCACTTTCAAACATGCCCCCTCCATCAGTGCGCGTAAATACAACTGTCCACCTCTTCATGCCCGTACGATTTTTCTATCCTCAATTTTTTTTTCTGGTCAAAAATGAAGTTTGGATTCGTTCATACCAGACACTAAACATTTTTTTTTATTTTTTTTTAATTTTTATTTTTAAATTTTTAATTCGACATTTTTAAATCAACTGATATCTTTATATGCTATATATAAAGATATCAGTTGATTTAAAAATGTCGACCAGCCACTCTTTGGCCAACCTTATCTGAAATCACCCAACAGTAAATCTGCACTTATCGTAATCGACTCTGTAAAAGACGCCTTCTGGTTTAATCAAGCTCCAGGGCAATATATCTCTCCTATCTCCAAGTCTGTGTGTGTATCAATGTGTACGTACATGTGTGCGCGCTATATTAAACTCTCAGCTTTCTTCCTTGTTCTTTTTTTCTGCTTCCCCTTTGCTGATTTATTTTTTCGCTCTTTCTACTTTTTTGTGCTTTTTTTCGGACGTCATGTTATTGGCGCTATACCGCACAACAAACGATGCTTTCTGAATTTTTTTCCAATACCTTCTTTTTTTTTGTATGAAGAAATAGGTATCTTTTTTTCAGCAACACGTGCATTACGAATAATAATACTCCTTCATCTTATTTAGCACAAAACTCGGGATGGCTCCTAGTAACTCTAAATTAAAATAAAAAGTGTGTAAAAATAACTTGCCAAGTCTTGCCCGCACTGACTGAAGGTCGCGTTAGGCGGCTCTAACGATAACGCATCAACACATTGTATTGAAACGCCCGAAGTTGGCAACATTGTAACGAGGATTATTGGCAGCATACGTATCGTCTTCGGGAACATCACCAAGAACTGCTTATCTGTACAAGCAAGAGATGGCGGAAGTGTGCGTCGTCCGCTGCATCAGAAATGATATTCGATGCTTAGAACAAATAGCTATATATTTTCAAAAAATTATAACCGTGGAAAGTAATCTTAAATGGCTTGAGAAAAAATTCACTTTCAAAATAACTTTCCTTTTCTTGGAATTACATTTTTTCGCGTTCAGGATCAAGCTTCAAAATATTGCTTCATCGGGAAATTATTTTGAACAACTTTGAACACAAATACAAATAAATTAAACCTACGTAAGACCAATTCAGTTCCGCTAGCACACAATTAAAAAATGTTAGACCAGCTACTAAAATGCTACCCGAGAAATGCTATATCGCCTAAGATGAAATTTTTTTTAATTCAAGCTTTTTAAGGCAGAGAGAGTTGACAACTAAACGGCTGGAGTTGCGGTAGTTATATAGATTTTTTCTATGCTGGGTTGCTAGCTTTATCAGATATAAGACCTCAATGTTTGTTGCTCAGTTACAAGACTACACCGACCTATGACATTTTCAATGTGTGGCTATTTTTTAAGGCTTTAAGTCAATAGTAACTGGAGACCAGAGTGGGCAGTATACATATTTTCACTACAATGGACGCTACACGCGCTTACAATCTTAAATTGCGATAAATAGGCTTAGCTCAACTCATAGAGACTTTTTTTTTTCTTTTGTATATTTTGATCTCGCTAACATCATGTTTCTTCCCGGTTTTATCACTACACAACTCCGTTCTAGAGTTTGGCGAAGGAGAGACTGAAAGATATAACGTCCACTTTTATCCTTAATATTACGGGGTGACAAAAAAGCCTCTTGGTCAGTGGCGTGCGAGTTCACCTCGATTCCACTTGCGCCATTAAGCTTGTGAAAAGTGAGAAAAATTTCTACTCTGTATTCTTGCAGGTCCCTTTTAGAATAAAACGGAGAATTGATTCCAGCAGCCTAGTGACCGCCACGGCGCAGAAATTTCCGTGCTCCGTGGAACAGTACAATGAAATCTTTTACGCCTTCCTTATCTCAGCGAGCTCCAATATCGCCAATATGCCCACTTCATAAGCTTATCTGCTCTTGACCGAGTAACGTCCAGGAATGCTCTGCCCTATCTCTTTAGCGGGTAGTCCATGGAGCGCCGTGCCATCGCCGGCCGGCAACACCCAGTATCGTTGTAACTTGGCAAAGGATGAACGAAAAGTCCCACGGCTTCGATATCGAACACATATTGGAGCATGACGCAGCGAAAAGCTCGATACTTCTTAGGAGTAAAAGCGCACTCCGGTGATACGTTGTGACATTCCGATTGGCTCGCCAGCGCCGTAGATTTCGTCGTACTGACACGTTATGCGATCACGGTCTCCTGGCCCACTCAGTATTTCCTGCTTCACACGCTAGGCTAAGCGGCACCACCAGAGTAATAGTCCACTTTTGAACGATGCAGACGCCACTCCAAGGCATACCCCATGTTTCTTGCTTCAGTCGCTAGAAAGCGCAAAGCCAAACAGCATTGCAGGTTGCCCATAGAGCAATATTTTCACAGATCGGAGTGATGACTCGGTGAATAAGCCGATGAAGAACTGAAGAAACTGAACGTTTAATGCGGCGAACTTGTGCCGAGGAAAGAAAGGACAGAACAGACAGCGTCGCAGGCGCCGGTGGCGGCGTAGTAGCCGGATCGAGCGCTGGAGCGAGACCAACATCGGGCCGCCACGTGGAACATCTTTTGAACCTGCGTGGGTTTATGGAACATTCGGCATAGAGCGTTCGGCGCGTACAACTTTCGTGACTCGAGGAGATGAGAAGGATTTCGAACTTTTGAGAACGCTAAATTCAAAGAACAAAAAGAAACGCCCGGTTCCAGGAATCGAACCTGGGGCGTCCCTGTGATAGCCAAACACCGTAACCTTTTGTCAACGCACTCTTTTTTTTCAATTTATGTTATTTTGTTTTACTGCCTCTTTTCTCGACGCGCGAGGCAATATTATGTAACGTAAAAAGAGGTCACTCCCACAGGCCCCGGCGGCTCACTTGACCGTCAGCGCACCTAGCGGCTGTTGTGAAGTTGGCCTCGGCTTCCTCTTCAGGCGCTTCCGTTCACTCCATGGCTAGAGACAGATGGCTGCTTTCTGAATGGGTGGATAACTAATATTTTTTACTCCATTCATATCAGGTGGTAGCTTGCGCCACCTAGTCTGCCGTGAGAATTTGGAATAATTGAATTCTGAATTTATGTAGGGAGTGCTTAAATGCTCACATAAATTCTGAATTCCAAAGTTGATTATGCGCGATACGCAACATAAAATTAAAGCCGCTGCACTCAACAGATAAAAGAAGGGGATAATAAAAAAAAGAGAATTGAGTGATACAAATGTTTGTTGTGACGACAAGGACAACCATAACAAAAGGCTCGAGGTACACCTAAGCATTTCTCATGAGTTGTGAATGTGAAAGCATGGCTGTCATTCTTCGCGCCGCGGCCGTTTCTGATCCTCTCGGTGCTCTCGGCGCCTGGGCCGCTGCGTGCCCATGGATGGATGGATGAATCCGGCTTGAGTCCTTTGGATCGGGAGGTAGCTTACGCCACCTAGCCATTTTGTTTTACCATTTAAGCTTAGAATATTTAAATGTGAAAGTTATATTCACTCCGCACTGCAAAGAAAGTGAGGCTATAAAACCCCCTCGTCATCACTTAATAAAAAAATACCTAGTTTTCTCTCGCTTTCTGCCACCATTCGCTTAATCTTTGCTTTGTAATTTCAATTCGCGCCATCCCATGGCGCGGGCAGGCAGCGCCATGGGGTGGCGCTAATTGAAACTGGCGCGCGGCGGCTTCATACCACTGCCGTTTTGCGTGGCTTTTTCCGTGGTTTCAAAGCTGGGATGCCTCGAATCGCGGCTTCGGGAATTTATCTGCCGTTTGGAGCGGCTGATGATGCCGGCTTGCTCCATGGGACATTTAATGGGCTCTACAGGCGTCCGTAGAAATGTGTACTCCAGTTCACCGTAAGGACGCGCAAAGAAGGAGCAATGAGAGCGAGCTCGACGCTTCAAACGAACTTGTAATGCGCGCACTCTCGTGAAGTGAAAGCATCGTTCAAGTCAATACGTTCTTGTTAGTAGCGTTAGCTTGCTTCAGTTTATGGGAAACAAAAAAAAAAAGAGCTTTTCGGCGACGCAGCTGACGTCCAAGAGACGCTTGAAACACTCTACACGTGGTTGCGCTTTAATCGTCTAACCTTCGAATCAAAGAATGAACGTCGAGAAATCCGCACAATGACAGCAACAGGACCACCTTGGCTCCCGTTATGGCGGTCGTGCGTCTTGCGAAAGCCCCGGTCGCACTCGTTGTAATATCTTTCAAAAAGTTCGAAGCTAGTATTAGTTTTAGAAATGTAGATTAAAGATAAACAATTTCTTAATAGATCAAATTTGAAAAAAATTATGTATAATTAAGCACCACTGCGCCAGCTAGCGGGTGTTGTGATACGTATCACTGTAATACGTGATGGACGGTCGGTTTTTTCATAGCCGTCACTTTCTACTGCCTATAATGAATTTCAACTTCGCAAACAATGGAATATACGAGTGCAGTGATTCATTGAATGCCTTTCAAACAGGCGCGTGACCACGCGCCGCCGGAGGGAAACGTTTTCGGGGCGCGCAGCTCAGAGTACAGCTCTGAGCTAGATTTTAGACGGCATGTTCTTTTCAGAAGTGGCGCGCGGCACTTGTCTCGAGCATTTCCAACGCAATAAATGGAGCCACTTTTCCGAGTATAGATGGGCTTTACCTGACTTCGACGCTCCTATCGGCTTCACGCGATTGAAGACGTTATCGGTTGGCAAGTTCCACTAAAACGGATAAGTGTCCGCAGGGACCTTTCACCTCCTTGCCGGAACTCGCAGAAAGTTCGAGATATCTGGCGAGCACAAAAAGGGCACGCTTTGATCAGCGCTCGGTACTGGCCACGTACTCCACGCAAGATGCGCCTTAGCATCTTCCTTGCCGTTGTGTTCCTGGGCATTCTACACCGGGCCTCGTCGGTCCCACGCGGTGTATTGCCCCCAAGTGCGTACGCTGTGAGACACAACCTTTCCCCCCAGGTTCCTAAGGCACCAGCCAAAGAATGCCAAAACGCTTCTTCGTCGGGCAGTCAGAAATGTGGAACCAAGACGGTGACGCACGAGAAGACCGTGATCACCATCGAGAGGACAGTGGAAACCGAAATAATGAATGGCGGTAAAGCTCAAGAATGTAAAGGTTGCCCCGACATTGGCACAACGACGAAAGCTCCTGTTACAACACCTCGGACTACTCCGGCGCCTTGCACGTCGACGACGCCTCAGACAACGACCGTTCCAACTACACCTGCTACGACCACAACTAAGGCGCCTATCACTTCAACAACGACGCCTCGGACAACGACCGTTCCAATCACATCTCCTACGACCACTACTACGGCGTCTACGACTTCACCAACGACGCCTCAGACAACGACCGTTCCAACCACATCTCCTACGACCACTACTACGGCGTCTACGACTTCACCAACGACGCCTCAGACAACGACCGTTCCAACCACATCTCCTACGACCACTACTACGGCGTCTACGACTTCACCAACGACGCCTCAGACAACGACCGTTCCAATCACACCTCCTACGACCAGCACTACTACCCCCCGCAGGTGCAACCCCGTCAACTGCAAGCTTCCCGACTGCATGTGCGAGACCACGAAACATCCGGTAGACGACATACCCCAGTTCGTGATGCTGACCTTCGACGACGCAGTCAACCAGGAAAACATGAAATTCTACCAGGAGCTTCTTGCAGATCCTAAGCGCAAGAACAAGGTCGGCGGATGCCGCATCGCGGCCACTTTCTTTGCCTCGGGAGACTACCTTGACTACCCGTCCGTGAACGAGCTCCACAGGATGGGCAACGAAATTGCACTACACTCCATCAGGTAAGTTTAATCCTCCATTCGTGCATTTCAGCAAATAAGATCCGCAGAGAGCATTAGCCCTGCAAAAACTAAAAATGCTAACACGTAAAACTCAAAAGAGAGAAAAACAAAGTTTTTTCTTATGTAGGGTAAAAAAAAAGTGTTTTTTTTTTCCTTACAATATCGTAGCAATGGCAGTGATAGCACAGAATGTGATTCAGCGTCAACCTAGAGATAACAGAGCCGCCGCTTCTGGCGCCGCGGAAACTCGGGATCCACAATTCCAGGAACGAGCCACGCCAGAACGGAGAATATGCGAGTCGCGCCCCTCGGCCTTCTCGTGAAGGGCCCTATCTAGAAAGAGCAGCAAAGTGTGAAGATAAGAAATAAAAACGAAAGGGCGTTCGCGCTTGGCAGCAGCAGCGCTAAAAGCCTGGCGCTCGCTTGTTTAGCGCGTGCTAGGCGTAGAGAGCGTCTCTGGCGTCGCTCTCTGTGTGACCACGTAACGTGACCAGCGAGAGTACCTCAGATCACGGTGAAACATATACAGACGCTTTGAACACGGGCCAGATTACAGTCGCCATTGCTAACCTTCTCTTGCTTTACCGAAATAACGAGCCTCCAGAAAGACCGTTGTTGGGGAGAAGAACAGAGTAGAATTTAAAATGGCAATAACCTGGCCTGCTATGATAATGTTGAAGTGAAGTAAGCGGAATGGGAGGAATCAAAAACTAATGGTCAAGGGTGGCGGCGCCCATGCACAGCTGCTTTAAATAGTCTATAAGTGTAGACACCGCGCCCGTCGCAGCTGCCTCATAGAGTAATATAGTAAACGTAAAGAGAGGACAGAGAAGCCGATTCGCGGCCCAGATAGTGCGTTTAATGCCCTCCGCTACGTGGCGCTTTTCTGTAATTTGGTTAAAATTAATTAGAACTCGTTCTATGCGAAGTCTTCATTTTTGAAATTGTTATGCCTTAGAATTATTTAAAGTATTCAAAAAGACTAAATAGTAATAATCTAATGCGTTACAAAAACCACGTGAGGAATGGCGCCTGCCATGACCTGCCGTGGGCCTGCCCGCCTGCTTACCTGCACGCCGTCGCCTCTGCATCATTCTGCCTGGCCTCTGCTCGGCCGTGCGTCGTTAGTACGAGCCGTGCGTGCCGTCCGTCTGTGCTTTCTGCTGCAGCGTGTTCGGTCGGCTTTGCGTCAAACAAGGTGACGCACGACTGCCCGCGCGCTCGCATGCTCGGCGTGAGTTTGTGGAGCCGAGCGGCTTGAACTTCCCCCGCTGCTGTTTCAGTCGGGCTATCTGGCCGCAATCGTGTGTGCGCCTTCATTTTCGATGAGATTTCTTTGAAAAAGGACTTGACTTATGACCCTTCGAACGACATTGTCCATGGATTTGCAGACGACGGTGTTGAACGGTGTTGCAGATAGAGCCTTGGTTGTTGTGCTCTCTGGAATTTCTAGGAGGTGGGTTCAGCCACTTGCATACACGGTTGTGCACACTTCCACACCGTCTTCTGTTACCCGCAGTCTCCTCGTTTCTCTCATTGCGGGAGCTTAAGACTGTTGGCTTCACAGTAAAGGATTTAATCTGTGATCAGGGCGCTTCGAATGTAAGCTTGGCCAACCAACTTGGTGTAGTAATGGTGAGGGTGCAGGCTAGCTGGTGTAAATTGAGCATAGTTGTAAACCCGAGACTGGGGATACGAACAAGGGACAAAACACAGAACAACTATGCTCAACTCTGTGTGTCTGTAAGTAAGCCATTTTTTTTTTTTAGTTGACAACGAATGTGTTTACTTTATATTTGAGGTTCCGTACTTCATCAAAACAACCAGGAACAATCTCCAAGCACACAAATTTTGCATTGGAAATGAGGTCACTGAGTGGTCCGATATTGTGAAACATTATCGCTCTACCCATGAGATGAGGTTTCGAATGGCTCCGAAACTTGCTGAGAGACACCCATTTTTCAAAACTCTCTCAGTAACATAAAAGTAAGGCGTGCCGCACAGGTAATGAGTGCCTCAGTCTGTCTTGCAATCCTATCCCTTGTTTAAGCCAAGGAGCTTCCTGAGGCAGCCATGGCTACCGCCTATTTTTGCGATGGGATGGAGATACTTTCTAAATAGCTCACAATTTAAGAAGGCAGGGCAGAAGTTCCCTCATGCCAGCGGCGTAGACTTTCCATTTTCCCGGGGGAGGAGGCAGGCTGAGTTCTCCCGGGGGGGTGTTGCGCGTTACTTTTTCGACAGAACTGGAGATTGAAGCTAACGAAAACTCGCTGGTATTCTATTTCCCATGTATTTTGTCAATAAAGGCAACGTGGGTGTTATTTTGTTTACATGCCGCTACTAGAAGGTCGTTACATGGCACGTAAACAGCGTCTCGGTAAGGATCATGGGCCCGGGCCCGGGGGGAGGGGGGGGGGGGGGGGGGGCTCGGCTTCCCCTGGATTTTACCAGGGGGGGCAGGAGCCCCGATGACTCACCCCCCCCCCCCCCATAGTCTACGACTATGCCTCATGCCTTACTGAAAGGAGAATCCGAGGTACTTGATTTCTTTCACCTGCAACTCGGTTGGATTTCAGCATGGAAGTTCCAAAATATGAGGCAGCCACAAACCATCATAAGGTGGCAAGTTACGATAAAGAGTGTCCTCATGCTCTGGGAGGAGCTTTCAAACAGCTATGACTTTAAGTTTTTACTTAGACGACGCCAGCAGCAAGATACATTTGAGAACATTTTTAAAGCTATATGACAAATGCTGGGCTGCAATACAAACCCAAAGGCGTATCAGTTCACCTCAGGACTAAAACACATAGGGATAAAGAAACTGTCCAAACTGTCGAAGAATGGAGATGTAGAGGATGAGAAGTCTGACGCCCTCAAGAAGTTGCCAATATTTTTGCACCATGAAAGTTCAACTGCGAACAATATGGAATGTCTTCCAATTGAAAACTTCCCGCCATTAGAGGATATTTCTGAACTCACATTGCACATAAAATCTAACATATTTGTTGACTCGTCCACTTATTACGTTGGAGGCTATTTGATTAAGCATTTCCTTCAACTGTCAACCCACAGCCGTGGCTGTTCTCAGCTGCTGGGGGAAGAGTCTGACAGCTTGACCAGGCCTCACCAGTACTTTCTTGTGCTTAAAGCATACCGCGTGCCGGGAAAACTCTTCGGGAATCTAGTATACCATCCCAGGCTGCCTTTAATTTCATTCAGAAACGAGAAAATCGCTTTCTGGCCGTAAGAGAGAGAGAGTGGCGTATGTTCTAGGAGTGTGTGCTGTCTTGGGTATTACACACTTCCAGGTCTGGGTAGTTTTAGCTTTGCTCAGAGTGCCACAAAAGGTTTTTTAAAAATGTTTTCCAGAATACGCTTATGTTGGTATGTTCGATTTTTTAATTGGAACTTGGAAAAAGTTTGGATGCACTCCTCAGTTCCTGTAAAGCAGCTAGTCATGTTTAACTGTTATTAGTGTATTAACGGAGGCGGCTGCCAAATCAAAAGCAGAAAATGCTTATTAATTGAGCGGTGCAGCTTTCACCCCCAACGTTTGTTTCCCTTATTTCCAGCAAGTCTGAATCACGGCCTTTTTGCAAATATATTTATCCATTTTCTACAAAATTTCTATAGAAAATAGTGTATAGAGGCTAAGTATTATAAAAAAATGTATCCACTTTTGTATCCACCGTGTATAGTGTTTAGCCGCTTTTTTTAAGCCACACTCCCTTTCTGATCAAATGTATTGCGGGAAATGTTTAGGGACGTTGAATCTTGTCAGATTTCGAATAGACTTCTCATTGTTTGGTAATGGCTCGCCCGCAGTGTGTTTCAGGCTATGCCAATTCGTGTGTTTTATATTAGCCGGAAATTCGGAGTTTGTACACTTCGCTGTGTGCTTCGCTCTCTTATTATATATACTCTTATGACTGGTAATGGTAGCGATGTCCTATGTATTTCTGCACCTACTTCCCGTGCCCGAGTCGGCGTGAAAGCGAATTGATCATTCAGCATGTTCTCTGTGGAAAGTTTTTGTTAACTTGGTTCCGCTAAAAATCTATTACGAGGTGTACGATATGCCGAACCCCTTCATATTCATTTATTTTTGTGAGTATTGGTATTTGTTTCTTATAAAACGTACGGAGCGTCTGAAATTAAATCATGTATATACGAATTTGGTCCAATAAAATGGTTTCGAACCGCTTACGGTTGTTGACACCAAAATGCTCCACCAGTCAGGAGTCAATGTGGAGATTGCGTAACTTCGATGTTTTACAGTAGAAAAACAAACAAACAAGATATACACTTCTGTTTTGTGATTTAGAAAGTTTGTTTTACACATTTTGCATGAATTCTATCGTAAAAATTAAAATAAAACTGCGTCAACATGAAAAAAAAAGAAAAGAAACAGCGGCTCCGGGAGTCGACGAGCTCCCAAGAGCCTAGCTAGTTAGCCTAGCTAGTTAGCCTAGCGAGAAGCGACGCCAAATGGAAGGAGAGAGAAAAAAGAGAAGAAGAGTACCGGAGAAACCTGAGCAGAAACACCCAAACCCAAACAGGAACTAACTTGACCGGAACCGGAACTAGCTTCTGCTTAATGCCGCCCGCTGGGAGCACTAGCTGTCACTCGTCTATCTCGGCCGCTGGGGCCTAAGGCAGTGTCCGCTCTTTACCTCGTGTATATTACTCTATGGCTGCCAGATAAAATCTTCTCCTCGCCTTGGTTGCAAGCGGCGCCACCAGATGACTCTTCGATATGTGGCTAATGGCAACAGTATCGCGGGCCCGGTTTCTCACGCTTCTCTATGAGAGACATGCTTGCTTTTAAAGTTGTTTCCAATGTGCGCCACGTCATGTAGCACTTGGTAGTTGCGCTACTTGTTGCTTACACACTGATTCGTCACTGACCCTGGTTTCGTACCTCAACGGCGGCAACACCAGTTCTACGAACGCGTTGAAGCCGAGAATTCTCTGGCGCGGTATTCAAGTCAAACACC